TATATTTATATACACACAAACACACGTGTAGCTGTATGTATAAATATGTGTGTATGTTCTCTTTTCTGTTAAATAGCTGTAATTTCATCAAGCAGCCAAGGACGAGTGAATCCCTTTAAGGTAAGAACTTTGCAGCTGGCTTGATTGTGGTGTTCCAAAAATGACAACACATTAGTATATCTAAAGTTATAATTTAACTATGACAGAAATTGGTGTGGGGGAAGGGAATGTGACTGAAAATAAAAAATCTAAGCATTTGTTTTGTTAGGTGTCATCTAACAAAAAGGAACCAGTGGCTCCCTTGACTAATATTCTAGATTCCATGAGCAAATACTCAAAGAAAACTTCTTCGTCCAGCAGTCGGGTTGTGAGCAAGGAGAAGTCTGAGGTTATAAAACCTCTCGTTCCCAAACCAAAGTCCAAGCAGGTAATGTTTCCAGTCTTTTTTTTATGTTGTTTCAGTGAGCAAAGAGCAGTAAATCGAATTTTACCAGCTTTTATCAAGTATAAAATCCTGCTGATTGAGTAAAGTATCTTAAGATGACAAAGTTCATGCAAGCATACTGCAGAAATCTATAGACCTGTGCGCAAAAAAAAAAAAAAAAAGAAATTTACTTTAGTTGCAGTAATTACATTCTGCACTGAGTTATCTTTAATAGTGTTTTAATCTCGATTATTTCTATAGGTTTCAGCAGCCTCCTTTTTCCAGTCTCGTACACTTAACTCTAGTGAAAAAGTAGCGGAAGAGAGAGAAGAAAAATCTGAATATGAGTCTCCCGTTGACAAAGTTGCTGCACAGGAGAACACTGAAAACAAAAGGTGAATGGAGACTTGCTGCTCAATGTCATATTTCAATTTGGATGGGATAGCTGGTCTAAAAACATCTCTTTGGCCAGTAAAGTGCCTTCAGAAACAAAGTAGCATAATATCAAGATAAGTGGTAGTTAGCAAGTTGTCATGCTTGTGAATTCACTTCACAAGTTTAGCAAACTGCTATTTATATTATACATATTATCAAATAACTTCTTATAAAAGAGGCCAGTGGGATTTCTAAATGTCCACATTCTAATCTTYATGGAGAGGGAGGGCARAAAAAAACCCTGTCCATTAAATCTTTTCCAGTAAAACCGGTAGTGTTATTCAAAGTGGARTTGACAGTGATAAGTAAACAATGCAACATGTAATTTTGAGCCTTGACCATTCATTTTTGCTTTGGTAGTGCTTGTGCATCTTATAGTGACCTTTGAATGGGAAACCAAAGCATGCCCCTGTGTCAGTTCCTTTTATATGAAATATTTAAGACTTAAATAGATCTATCAATCTCTCAGAAGATATAAAAGCTAGGTGTCTTAAATGACAAGTTTAAGTTCTACTATAACTTAAGGTTATAAGGGAAGCAATATGGTTTTCCTATAACATTTAAGAACTCCCAGTTCTCTTTTTTGCTTGTTTTAGACCAAAAACAGGTTTCCAGTTATGGCTAGAAGAGAACAGAGCAAACATTTTAACAGATAATCCTGATCTGAATGAAGCAGAAGTAATAAAGGAAGGCATGAATCAGTTTAGAATACTGTCGTCAGAAGAAAGAATGGTAAGACAGCACTCACTATTCTGTTTTGAGATTGTTTTTCTTTTTTTTTTTTTTTTTCTTTTTTTTTTCACCAAGTCCAGTGATTACTTCCAGTTAGGAGTTTTCTTTAAATGCCACTGTTCTCTGTCTCCAGGTAATTATGTTTTGATTTGAACTATAATCCAGAACGTATTCTGTGAAGATATTAAGTATATTGATTTCTGAATAATAATTGAGAGTAGCTTTTACAAATAGGGGCATCAGAGAAAAACGTAATCAATAAAAACTCCAAGAAAAAAACAGAAGAGGAGAGTAGACGTTACTGAATAAAAGTTGTATAGCCAAGATTCATCCATTGGGGCTTAAATTTGTTTTAACACCTTTTAGTTTTCTTTGGCAAGAAGACGATCAAAGCTTTGACTTTCAAATGTAGGAACTATAATTTTGAGGGAGAATGCTTTTGCAACATAAGGAAGTTAAGAAATTGCTCCTAACTTGATTGGCAATCTCTATCAGTTCTTAACAGGCATGATTTTAGAAGAATATAATTTTATAATCAGAGAAAGATGATGTATAAAGTAAAGCAGCCAGTTTTGTGCCCTGATTTGTAGGGAGTGTGGGKTTTTKTKTTTTTTTTTTTTAAATGATGGACTTTCTTCAAAGGTATGGACTGAGAAAGCAAAAGGAGGAGTGGCTAATGATTTAACTGATGCTAAAAAGCGAAAGCGTCCTGCAGCTGGTGAAGACGAGGGGAAAAAGAACCAGGAAGAAAAATCAGAGGACTCAAATTCATCCAAAAAAATAAAACCTTCAGATCAATCTACAAATGTCAGACTGTCAGCTTTTGCATTCAAGCAAAGCTGAACAAGGTGATACCTTCTCAGCATGTTTTCTCAAAACGTTGGGTTGCTCTATATTGACAAATTTTCCTCTGTGCTCCTAGAGCATTAGCAGAAAGAGTGCCTTGCCCTCGTCTTTTAGAATATTTTTATTATTGACTCTTTCAGGAAATGTTGAGTCCACACCCAAGATCATTGCAAGTTCCTTTATAACTAGGATACACCTTGATAGCAAAATGAAAACTAGTGGACTAGCCCTCTAGAAGCACTGTTGCACAGGGGCCATGTGCCTTGATGCTTGAGAGATTCAGTGCTAAATACAGATGAATCAGCCTGGGGAGGATAAACTGAGCACAAAAATCATCCTCGAGTAGGAGAGCCAGGGAAAGGCTCCTTTACTGAGACTGACATCCATGGCCCTGGCAGTGAGCAGCCAAACCAGGGCAGAAGCTTCATTGAGACTGTCAGTGTACAAAAAAAGAGCTGTTCCAGATAGTGAAAATGTATTTTCACAGTCACTGCTGCAGCAGTGTCCCAGATGTGGTCCAGAAAGTGCCCAGAACTTGAAAATGTGTGTATCTTACGTAATATTTGTTTTTAAAATAAAACTTCAAGTTTTAGATGGTAGTCTCCTTTTGATTTTATTTTTATACATCCTTCCATCTCTTTCTGTTATTCATTCATTTCTCTTCATATCATGTCTGAAGAGGCAAAAATGACTTTCCCTTTAGAATATGCTTAAGCAGGGAGATGTGCRGACTGACGCTTCAATGACATTTTCCTAAAAGCCAGATCCATCTTAGCCTACAGGCACATGTTTTGTTGTGCTTTTTAGTAGTAGTTACAGGTCACTTTGGAAAACAATTTTCACTCTTGGTAGAAAATGAGGTTTGAGGTGCCAACTAAAGAGGGTAAATGCAAAAGGAGCAGAAGCCTTATCCCTTTGAGTGCATTTGTCATCAAGTTCTTCCCTCTCAGTATTGTCATACACGTTATTTGTTTAAAGCTGATGATAGACTGGAAGTGATAATTAACGTAAGCTCATGCTTAGCAAGGGAGATTGTATTGACAGAGCACAAGAGAGGGAGAACAGCAGCATATTATAGTGTCTRTAGTTGGAAATAAATGATTGTATCAGCTGCTGTCTGGAATTTCTTTTAGGCAATAAAGTCCACTCTCAGATTTGGACGTATTGGACGAGAAAGAAGAGTTGGCAGTGATAAGAAAAATAGTCTGATAAAAAAATCGTTGAGGCTTGAGGAATTGTGTAGTGTTTTCTTCTTCAATCAAGGTGTGCTGACCTTGAGCATCATCAATACAGCCGTGGGAGAGGGATGAATTTTCTTCAATATGTGTATATACAATTTTTATTCAAGCTGATACAACTTATGCAGGGCAAAACTAAGAAGGAAATAAGATCCTCTCTGGCCTAAACAAGCTGTTTGGATGACTCCTCAGGCCTCCATATAAAGGCTGTAGCAAAACTCCTGAGCTGAAGGCATAACTTGAAATCGATGGTGCTCCTGCAGGACCAGAAGAGGAGAAAGAGAAAAATTAAAGTCTAGAGCTGAATGCTTGTCCCAAATGGAGGTAAAAAAAAAATCCATTATTTAACTTCTTAACTTGAAATCTCTTTCTGGAAAGTAAAAATAATTCAGATTGGATGGCTTTATGCTTACATATGTATATAGGTATGTAGCTGCAAGGCACTGTCCCACCCGGCACCCAAAGTCCATTTGGCTCTCGCRGGAAGGAGGAAATGTCCAAAGCCACCGTCCCGGGAGCTTTCGGGCTGGTTTCAGAGCAGCTGGGTGAGGTACCTGTGACCCAATGCGCCTCCCAGCGCTCGCGGGGAGGCTCCTGGGCTCAGCCGCGGGCTCCAGGGTCAGTGACGCGAGTCCCCAGCCCCTGTTTGCTCTTCTCCTGGCTCTGTTTTTTCCTGAGTTTCATCAGCTGCAGCACCCAGGTCACCGCCAGGATCCCGCTGGTGTCAGGGCTGAGCAGTGGCCATGGGACCAGGACGGCTGCGTCAGGGCACAGCTGCCCCTTCCAGCCCCGTCTCCCATCCCTGCGCCTATTTTGGGTATTTTTGGAGCCTGCAATCAGCCTGGTCTGCTCTTCCAGGCAATTGAATTAAATTGCTGCTGATTCACCGGGCTGTTAAAGGGTGGATAAATTCCAGGCTGTGTTTGCAGGGCCCCGGCTGGGGGGACGTGGCACCCATCACTCTCCTGGTGACAAAGCCCCGGAGCAGTGGCAGGACCGGCTGCAACCCTTGTCCCYGTCCGCTGGGGCCACACGGGCTGCAACAGCACCCAGAGCCGATTAGCAACGGGAGTGCTGCTGAGAGGTGACCCTCGCGTGCTCTGCGCCTCCACGAAACACCCCCAAATGTGTTTTATGGTGCGGTGGGAACGACAGCCGCCACAGCGGGAGGCTCCTGCGTCGCCGCGGGCCAGTGTAAGAGGGGTGCGATGCAGCAGGGCAGGCTGAGACCGGCCGG